GAGCCCCAAAAACCCGAATCACCAAACAACCAAAAACCCCATTAAACCGCTCAGGAAATACACATAGGAGAGAGGCTGTAGAGAGGCTAAGGAGCAAAATAAATGTAGGTTAAGAATCCTCCAGAAAGAAACCTACTCTGGGGACCATAGAGTTAATTAACTCTAGCTTAATTCGAAAAGGACTACATAATATTTGGCTCTGCAATACTTATAGTTAAGGAACCTTTGATTAGAAGTAATCAAATCTCATGCTTCAGGGCGTGAGTTGATTACTGCAGGGGTCAGGGAGGATCCCATCCTTCCCCTGCTGTATCCACACATTATCCCCTGTTAGGCTAAAAATAAATCAGTTGTTCGGGAGTTTTTGTGTCTTCTTTTCTGCCTCAGGCAAAACAGTGAGCGTGATGGGCCAAGACTGTTCCTTTGGAAGAGATTTATGGTAACTGTCGAGCACCGCCAGCCAGGCCGTGGTGTGCGCGCGGGACCCTTCGCTCCGTTCGGGGAACGCTTTAAAAACACGGTTGTCAGTGGGTGTGGGGGAAAGGCAGCCCCCCCCTCGGCGCGTGGGCGTCCCCGGGGGCGATGCCGCCTCGGCGTTTTGGGGGGCGGGGGGAGGGTTTGGCCGGGTGGTGCTGGGCTGCAGCGCACCCCGGCGCGGCGAGGGGACCTGCATGCGGGATGGCTTCGGGCTCCCTCGGCACCCTCTGCCTTCAGCAGAGGAGCTGCTCAGGTTGCTGAAGCTTCGCAGCTGGGCTCGTTCTGGGGGATGTTGCCTTTGCATTTAAACCCGCGCGCTTTCTAGGGCTGCCCCCGCTTCCCAGGGGTGAGTGCCCCCATCGCCGCACCTCAGCGTCCCCGGTGGCCGGCTCCTGCCCAGCGTCAGACCTGCTGGGGAATATCAGGAGTAATAATCATCAAAGGGAGGCAGCCCTCACGTTTATTTGCTCCTTCCCATCCTTTCTGAGCAACTCTTTGTGGTTGCTGATCCATCTCAGCCCTTTCTGCCTTCTCCTGGTGTGGTTTAATTTCCTTTGCTGCCCGGATCCATCCTAGAGTGTGCAGAGCCCATTTGTCGTTGCTTTTTTATGAGCTTTTCTCATACCTTGGCTGGAATACCTTTTGTAACAGAGTTTGTTTCAGTGCTGTTTTGCTTTGAGGAACGTGCAGTGACTTCCAGCTGCAGAGGTGTGACCGTTTTGTTTTCTCCGTATTTAATACTTAGCAAATAAATGTTCTCCAAAAAACTGAATGAGAGCAGAAGGAGTCTGTATTCTCTTTGAACATTCCTCCTAAGATCTGAAGATACTTTCAGGTACGCGTTAGGCTCTCACGTAGTACCCAGCATTGCCATGGCCAAGTGCAAATGTTATCCTGGTAAAACATTATTTCATGCTTTGTGACAGACACATCAAATATCTTTTAGCTATTTAACCAGCGAGGAAATGAAATGCACGCGTCAGCAGCTGGGGAAGCGTTTCATTCTCTCAAGCCCAGTACGGTCGCGGCCCCGGCTGTGTAAAACCCCTCAGCATTTCTGCAGAGCTTCATCATTTTGTGTTAAACCCCACCGGGTCCCTGCAGACCCTCCAGCCGCCGCTGCCTCTCGTGGAGACGGCGGCTGCCCCGCGGGGCCGGGTGCTTCGGGCTCCCGCTGGCTGTTGCTTTGTTCCGAGAAGCGTGCCTCGTGCCCCGGTGCTGGTGCAGTTCGGTGGCACGGGTTGCTTCCCGGCCCTTCAGGCCACCCCAGCCCTGCTTCTTGCACGGGCTCACCCTCGGCCCCCGCGGGCGAGTCCTGGGGAGGAGCTGGCTCTGCCGTGGCTGCCTGACACGGCGGCCGCCCGAGGGAACACGTTGGGATGCTCCTGTTGGGATGGAGACTGGCTGGCTTTCCTCCTGGCTTCGGGCGAACCTTTTCGTGCCTCTCTGTGCCCACTCCTGCGTCTAAAACGGCGTTACTGGCGCTGGGGTTAATGGCCAGCGGAGGTCTGCAGCCCCCGGCCCCTCCTCGGGTGCAGCTCTGCAGTGGGACACACACACACACATTTGGAGCGTTTGGGCCAAAACCAGCTTGCCTGAGCTCCAGGGTGTCTGTCGGGTTTATTTCTCAAGTTGAACACTGTAATATTTCCACCCATGGCAGGGGTGTTACCAGACTTAATGAATTAATATACAGAGAGCTTAGAGGTCTTCAGATGAAAGGCACTGAAGAAGGGCTAAGGATTATTATTTGCGGCTCTAATTTCTTTTCCATCAAAGGGATGAGAGGGGTGAGAAAATGCCATTTGTTCTGGAGCTTGGGAGCAGGAGTTTGAAGTCTTTCTTTTCTTTCTTTTTCTTTTCCCCTCCCCTTTGTGTGTTTCTCTGGGAATTTTGTGGAAGTCCCTGCTCTGTCTTTTCTTCTCTGGGCACCGGCGTGTGAAGCAGCCGGCGCAGCGCTAATCACCAGAGGCTTCAAGGGCCGAAATATGTCAGGAAAGCGCCTGCCCTGGTTTTCAGTTGCAACTGATTTCTGGGCATTGCAAATAACTGCTAGCTTCAGCGCGAATTCAGCATCAAAGTCAAGGGAAGATTTCACACGGAATTTTTTCTCAAAAGCATCTGGCAATACCCCGAGCTCTGTCTCCACGGATTCTGTGGCATTCAGCGATTTTCCTTTGTAATAGCTCAGTTTTGTATACTTCGGGAATTCCCACCCTTGATCGGTGGCAGATATTTTCTCCTGGTATGATTTTTTTGTAATCGAGTAGCAATAATTCCCAAGGGGGTGGGGGAGCAGCAGCGAGGGGATGGAAGGCGCGCTGGGAAACGTGCACAATCCTGTTTTCAGGGCGCAGAGCTGCGGCGCCCGAGCCGAGCGGGTCGTGGGGGCTCGTGGTCCGAGCACTGAGCTCGCCTCTCGTGGCCGTGAGCGGCCGGGGGGTGCTCAGGGTGCGCCCGGGCACAGCGGCGAAGGGCAGGGCAGCTGCATCGCCCCGCTCCTCCGCTCCTGTGAGCAGCCCCGGGGCGGTCGGACAGGCGTGATTGCTAAAAGTCTCTCGTGGGAGAGGCTCGCGGTGCTAGAACGAGGTTTCGCCCTGCCCCAAGTGGTGAACAGAAGTTTGCCCCGATTCCTTGGTTTTTGTGTTGCTCGCTGATTCGTGAAGGCAGAGCTATATTACTCCTTAACTGCCCCTGTTTTCAACTAATAAGATTGGAAGCTAAATAGGAGCAGGATAAATGGTGGATTATGACCATCCAACACTTCCTGCAAAAATCCCAATTATTGCATGTGTGGTTTTAACAGCTTTAAAAGACTAGGTGGGGAGGGGCAGGCTGTGCTCGTGTACCTGCAAGCGGGAATCAGCCAGTTACGGTTTTACTGCTGCTTTTAGCACAGGCTCAGCCAAACACAGCTCTGCGTGTGACTTGATCTGAGGTGAGGGTTGTCTCTTCAGACCAGCAGAAAGCATGAGATAGCTCCTTTGGAGCTGCTTGTGGCACCAGCTGAGTTTTCACATTTCCCTTGGAGTTTATCAGTACTAATACACTTTTTTGTGCCTTTCTGCATCGGGTCAGTAATGCCTGTGGGTGCGTAAAGCCGGAGAAGGTGCCGCTGAAATGCCAGCTCCCCACAGGGGGTTCTGCTGCTGCCGAAAAGCTAGCTTCGTTTGGGGTCATTGAGATTACGCTAGCAATCTTCTCTTGCCTGTAGCTTTGTGTGCCGTTCTTGTGCTCTTGGCAGTGGTTTTGGCGGGGCTGCATTGGGGTTGAAGCCAGCTCGCCACACGCCTGTGCTGTGCCGGGGTGGTTTTGGTTACAGCTCACACAGGGAGGACTTCCGACTCGTTCCTTAACGCGTGGCAGCAAAGCATCTTAACTTCTGTAATACAGGTTGTCCCGTGGTACTTTTCATGTAATCGGGGTGACTTGCTGGCAACGGTTAGTTTGGTGCTACGAGCTATAGGAGGTGTTTCTCACGGGGTCCCTCTGTTTCTCGCACGGAGGTGTCCCTGTGAGCCCCGGGCCTGTCCCTGCAGGTCACGGTGCTTGTGTGCCGAGCTGCCCGAGCAGCTTCGTGCCGGGCGGGCAGCAGTGCCCGCGCTGTGCCGGGGGACGGGCACGTATGGTTATGAAACCCCTCGCAGAGGGGGAAGCCGCAGTTATCTGACCTTACATCTTCTACCAGGAACTCCAGCCCTCTCGCGTCCCAGAGATGGACGCGCTTTGGTTGTGGACTGCAGCCCTCCTGTGTCGCTGCGCTCTCCTTCCAGCCCCACGAGCGTGGCTCGGGCTGATGCGCTGCGCTCCTCCGCCTTCCAGCCTCCTCTCTGGCTTGCCTTTCCCCGCAGAACAAAATCTCTTGACCCCCACGTTTTGAGTGCTGCTTCAGTGCCCGTCCTTGCCCCCCACTTGCGGGGCGGAGCGGAGCCCTGTGTGGGTGGTGTCAGGGCTCCCGTTGGGGACGGGGAGGAGAGCTGCTAAGAGTTGCTTTTTGCTCAGCTGTGATTAAGCGTTCATAGCAGCAAATCCCTGTGCTGTAGCTATACTTAACATGCCAAACTCAATTATATTGAGAAGAGAGTTTAAAAACAGGCTTTTGTCTAATGTACAGTATTTTGGCAGCAATTAGCTCTGAGTTATATCATTTTCCCCAAGGTGAACATGCAGATGATCAGTTATGCATGAGAAGCTGCTCTGTCGTGAGAGAGAAGGCAGCTTCCTAGTGAGGATAAAAGGGTTTGCATGTACTGCAGGACACGTTTTTTGGTGCCATCTTGCTTGAACGTCAGGGTCACTGTGCTGTCTGGCTGTTTGTTCCCTTATATTTGCCTCCTTCGGTCCTCTTTCCTTCTTGCCTTTTCATATGGTATTGCTGTATGCTGTTAAATACACCCCAGTACGACAGGGCTGGTGTTTCTCTGGGACACAGAGTGCTGTTCCGGGCATTTAATGGACACATGACCCTCCAGAGCAAGGGTGGGAGTGTCTGTGTGATGAGACCCTTCCTCGGTGTTTCTCAGTGCTGTGATCTGGGATTCCACGCCAGCCTCGCTCGGACCTTCAGGACGTACCTGTCTGCCGAGTACAACCTGGAAACCTCCCGCCACGAGGGCCTGGACATCATCGAGAACGCCGTGGACAACCTGGATGCACGGAGCGACAAGCACACCATCATGGACATGTGCAACCAGGTCTTCTGCCCTCCGCTGAAGTTCGAGTTCCAGCCTCACATGGGGGACGAGGTAGCGTACTCGCCGGGGGGGCTGCAGAGGTGCCTCGCAGCCTGCCCTGGGCTGGCTTCCTCCTCTTAACCATCCCCGTTAAGTTATTTCTGACTCCTTACCCCTCGGTGCTGTTTTCACACACTGCTATTCGTGTTTCCTTTCTTAATGAGACAGTCGGCTCATTAGGGCTCCTCCTTTCAGTCTGCCTCTTGCTCCACATCTCTCCCAATTAGGAAGCCTGTGGCGTGATTGTCAGCTGAAGTGCCCAACAGATTTGTAAAGTGGAGCTTTGATTTACCTGCCGTAATTGGAAGACTTCAGAGTGCAGCTTTCAAATGCCGGGTGGAAAATGCTTTGTGCTGGCCCAGGTCCAGGGCACTGCTGATTAGCAAGTGGGTGATGTGGCCTCCCGGGAGGCTGTGAGGAGCTTCTGGGTGCTGGAGAGAATAACTTAGGGATTGAAACGTGTGTGTCTGGTGAGTGCCCGACCCTCTGAATGCTCTCCTGTCTCAGGTGTGTCAGGTCAGCGCCCAGCAGCCTGTGCAGACCGAGTTGCTGATGCGGTACCACCAGCTGCAGTCGCGACTAGCCACCCTCAAGATAGAGAATGAAGAGGTAAGAAGTCGCTCTGGGTCTCGTGTTTGGCCCTGCAGGCAGCGTTGCTCAGCCTTTAGCCCGTTGCACAGGGGGGTTCCCGGTGCGCTCGGGTGTGGAGCCCTTCCAGTGCCGGCGCTGAGAGCTCCCGCTGACTGCGGCTGGCGCAAGAGCAAGCCCGGCACTTGGGAGCTGCCCCCTGGCCGGTGGTTCTGGCTCCAGATGTGTCGCTTCCCCAGTCCGCTTCAAAACCACGCTGTCTTCTGTTTCTGATAGGTGCGAAAAACCCTGGATGCCACAATGCAGACTTTGCAGGACATGCTGACGGTGGAAGATTTTGACGTTTCAGACGCCTTCCAGCACAGTCGCTCCACTGAGTCGGTCAAATCAGCTGCGTCGGAGACCTACATGAGTAAAATAAACATCGCCAAGAGGAGAGCCAACCAGCAGGAGACCGAAATGTTCTATTTTACAGTGAGTCTCATGCCATACAGGACTCAAAGCATTAATTGCTAGGGCCGAGTCCCATTTTAAATGTTCATTAGTGAAGCGCAAGAACTAATTCAGTCTCTCTACGTACTTGTCTTCTGTCTGATCTGGGGTCGGAATGCATATCTCAGTGGCAGGGACTGACAAGCCAGTGTCTGCCTTGTTCGTCTTTTTGAAGGAACAACTGGAGCAACCAGTTGTGACCAAAACCCTACACAACTCGGGAGTGGCGGCTCAGGGCAGGGCAGCAGACACCAGCCAGCCTCGCGGCGTGTCACCCTTCCTGGAGGCCTTTACAATTTTGATCCATTTGCCAAACCTTCCTTTGCTGGCCTGCCCAGCTGAAATCTGCCCCGGGCCCGCGGTTGAGCCCAGCGGCCCCCGGCATCCCCCGCAGGGTGCTGGGGGGGGGCTGCGACGGCCGGGCTTGCCGGGGCAGCCGTGGTCGGGTGCCTCGCTCCCAGGCGGACCGAAGCTTCTCTGTTGTGGTGCTTGAAGTGTAAGGCATAAGCCGTCCATCCGCTCAGCAGAAGCAGCCCTCATTTAAGCATGGTTGGTAGGCTAAAGGTAATAGCACCTTGGGGTACGTTGCATATGCACAAAAAAGCTTCTGCTTTCTCTTAACAGTAGTATTATTCCAACTCCGGGGGCCAAACAACGGCAGTTTTCATTGTGAGTTGTGCTTGGGGTTTTTTTAATGCTTTTTGCAAGGATTTTCTCTCTGCCCTTCTCTGTCTTTATCTGTAAAACTGCTTGCTCTTGAGCGTTGCCGGGTGTCAGACGGTCTCACAGTGAAATGAGAAGTTGTGCCACACAGTTAGTGTCACCCAGTGCCTAAAGCGTCCGATGGTCCCTGGCCTGGGTCGGTCTCATGCACTGGGAGTTCTCGCTCTGCATCACTTGTCTGCACAAAGGCAAAGCTCCTGTCAGTGGAGGGAAAGCCTCTTTGATTTTCCAGGCTGTTCCCAGAGGCCTGACGAAAGCAAGCTTGCTTAGAACTCTCTTTGTTGGGAGCTCCTTGCGTTGCCAGGCAGCAGATGCAGCACCAAGGAGACCGGGCTAATAAGATCATCAGGACTGTGGCTGGAGCAGTGAGAAGTGATTAGACCGTGCTCAGCCCTGCGGCGTCTGACAGAGCCTGTCAGCCGTGCTGAGCCCCCTCCAGCAGCCCCCCGGGCAAAAGTGTACATCAGTTACGGACTATTCTTGCCAAGAGTCTTAACCCACCTCGTTCGGTTTATTTTTAATTCCAGAAATTCAAAGAGTATTTGAATGGCAGTAACCTTATCACGAAGCTCCAGGCCAAACACGACTTGCTGAAGCAGACTCTTGGAGAAGGTGAGTGGTGGGGTTAGGTCCGGGGAGGAACCTCCTGTCACACGAGATGACTTTAAACCTGGCGTCATCTTTCAGTCTTAGCGGCTGTCTGTGTGTGCCTGAGTGACTGAGTAGCTGCCTCTACTAAGTTTAACCAGTGACATGCAAAATCATTATTTCCTAGGAATATTACTCTTTTCCCACCTTTCTTGGGGGGGGCACATAGAGAAATTTGTTTGAATTTTACACTGTGTGCCAAAGTGCTGTGTTACTTCTTCAGTAAAGAGATTCCCACCCGCTCCAACCCTCTGCCTTTTTCCTTCCTCTACCCCTTCTTCCCCACTTAGCGCGGCCCTGAACACACGTGTTTCCTTGTCCTTGATGCTGTGCTTCTGTGTCACGGGTTTGCCAGCAGCCTTGCTGATTTAATAGGCCCCTTGCCCCCCTGGCCGTAGGTTTTTTTACTTGCTCTAAACCAGAACTGCAAAATCATCCTTGTTTTTAAAGCTAACTTTTGCGTAGCAGGCTTTTATTGCTCCAGATAACGTCACAAGTGGGGTTTAGAGCACATGCACACAAACAGGCTTCGTACAGCAGAGGGGCAGTGACTTCTGAGGGAGGCAGGAGCGAGCGGCTCCAGGTGGGATCCGCCACTGCTGGGGTAGTGATGTGCAGCCATGTCCCCGGCAGAAGATTTTAGCTCTTTTAAAGGGTTTTTAAAAATTGCATTATTTCCAGTGTAAAGAAGATGGAGATGAGTTAGTGTCCTGATTTTCCAACAGGAGAGACTATGTTTAAATCAAAATACACGAGTGGTCCATGGTCATCTTTTAACAATGCAAAAATTGGACTCCTCATCTCAGAGTGGAAAATAATAATAATGATGATGATGATGGTGATGATGATAATTATTATTATTATTAATAATAATAATAACAATAATAATAATACTAGCAGCTTGCTTTTGGCTATTTTGCCAAACATTTTCTCTGCCAAATTTATTTAGCCCTAAAATCCAGCTGCCAGTTCGATCCTGTGGTATGTTCCACTCCGTGAACACCGAGCCAAGTCGAGGCACCAGCTGTAAGCAGCAGGAAGGCTGCAAGGGTAGGCGCACAGGGCTCCGTTAGCGTACTTCAGGAGTTTCGGCACCCCCTGTAGCCGCCCGAGCCCCTGGGCCCCTGCGCGGCGGGGCGGCCGGCTCCGCGGCAGCGTGGCAGGGCCGTGCGAGGCTCCGCGGGCTGGCTCCCAGCTGGGGCGCCGGCGGGGGCACGGAGCAGGCGCTTCGCTGAGATGGGACCCATCTGGGCTCTTCCCGAGACCACAGGCACGGGAGGGAGCTCCGGGTGTTCCATCCAGTCCTCGGGCTCCCCTGGATCGGGGCAAGAAGTGATGAACCGGGTGAAGATTAATTGGATCGCCACCCCGGTCTCTCACACGAGAGCCATACTAACGCCACGCTTAGGAGGAGGGATACAGGGTCAGGTGTTTTAATTCTCTAGAGTTGTGCGAAAGCAGCCGTGGAAGATTTTCAAATGAAAACTTTCTGAATTTCTCTCGGGCCGTGGCATCATCCTGCTATGTAGGCGTTCAGCAAATATTTAGCCCAGAAATGCCAAATGCTGCGTTTCAGCGTGAGCTGATTCTCATTAGGAAGAAGTCTGGATTTGCAAAACACTTGTGTGGAATTCTTTTCTTTTTCAGTGAGGAATTGGCTGCAAGCTTGCTTTCCGCGGGTGCCAAGGGAGAGCAGGAAGGAGGCATGTGCAGCCAAATGCTTCCTTTTATGTGCCTTAAAAAAAGGAAGAATAAATCAGCTTTCCTGGCCTTGGGAGAGAGGCACAAACAGCATGTGCAGTTAGTTTAATTTTTTTCAGCGTATTGACAAATACTTGAAAAAATGAACAGATCTTATCAGTGGTGATACGCTGCTCTTTATATGAAATCCAAGCCCTAAAAGTACGCGAAGGGAATGAGAATATTGACGGCCAGACCAGAGCCCGCCTGGTGGTGGTTAGATGGGCTGTTATCTCGCAGGACTGTGATGGGGCTGCCCCTTTCCTGCTTGGGTTTGGCCAGGCCCCAGCTAGTGCAAACGAGCACTAATGGCAGAGGACCTGCCGCACATCTGATCATTTACAAGATGGGCTTCACACTGCAAATAAGCCTTTGATATCAGTGGGGGTTGAAGGCGCTTTCCCTCTCTTGTGGCTGAGTCTTGGACTTCTGTCTTTTAGTGGTGGGGGCTTGGATAGCAAACAGCTCAGCATCTCCCCGCGCTGCGGGGCCCGCAGCCCATCCAGCTGCTTTTTGCCCAAAGCCGTTCACTCGGGGCCCGCAGAGCCGGCCGTGAGCGTGCGAGTGCCCGTGCGAATGTGCTTGAACGGTCGTTTGGTGGTGACTAATGTGGAGAGATGATGGAAGCTTGTGTTTCCTCCTAGGTGAAAGAGCCGAATGCGGAACGACCAGGTGAGCAGTTTCTTCCAATTCGTTTGGTTCTGGGGAGGGCTCGCTCTGGCAGGAGGGTGGCCGGGGGAAGGCTGGTTTGCTCTGTTACCAGCGCAGCTCGGCGGGGTTCGGATTTAACCATCTTCCAGCCGCCCTGTGCTGGCAGGCCGGGGGGGGCAGGCAACCCCAGGCTCCCCACATCACTGCCCTGCTTCTCAGCTGCATGGCCTGAAGTGGGTTAATTAGGGCGATGACAAACAGGCCCTTGGTTTTGCTGCAGTGTAATTTCTGGCTGAGAAGTGCCTGGGAGTGCTGTGTCAGCACGGTGCGGTGCCTTGTAGCGTAGCTGAGGTTGGGCTGTGTTCAGTGTCTGCCCGCTTCCTACCATCCCTGTTCCTTTGAGGACTTTGATACGTCCCCCAAAGCCTCTTCCAGCTCTGGCTTCTCTGCCTAGGAGTGCCGAACATGCCTGTATTCACAGATTTTCATCCCTCTACAGCAGGAGATAGTGGATGTGACAGGGAAGAGGCTTTGATCTGTGTCCAGTCCATAAAGCATCTCCACAGAGCGCTGGTGGCTTGCTAGGAGTGTGCTGGTTTTCTAACAGTAAGACGTGTGCCAGCAAAGCCTCCAAACATCTCCCCAGAACACGTACAACCTCTCTCTGTTATCTTTTTACAACCCTGTTTCAGTGTTTAATAAAACTTGCAATACCAGCAAAAAAAAAAAAACCCAAACCCCAGCCCCATTCCATGTTAGAAATGCTGAAGCAGATGGCGAAGCCGGGGCTGCCTCTGCCGAGGGTGGCGGGGAGCTTCGCTCCTGTGCCTGGGCTGGAGGGGGCTGTGCTGCCCGCGCCGGGCAGAGGGCCCAGGGCTGGCACCCACGGGGGCTGCAGTGCCGGGCACCCAAGCGGCTGGGTAAAATATGGGGAGAATTTGCTCTTGAGTACTGTGTTTATCAGGAGTGGGTGCCCGCGGGGTGGTGGTGTCGCAGGCCAAAACAATCAAAGGAACGAATAACAGCCTCCTACACGAGGGATGATGGCACAGCTCCCTGCTGCTTCTGTTTGCTTTTGTTTCAGCAGTTGCTTTTACTTCACAAAGGAAAACAAACAAGAGACAATCTCGTCCTTGTGTGAGGCAGCGCAGAAAGTGTAGGCAGAGCAACCTTCCCGGCAGATGCAGCCGGAGGCCGGGCTGCCCCGGCATCCCCGGGGAGGGGAGCTTACGCGGCAGCAGACAGCGCTGGGTCTGCAGCTGAGAGTCGGGCGGGCGCTCGGATGGGCAGCAGTGGTTTCTGCTCCTCAGTTACCAGCTGAGGGAGTGGTTAGAAGCTATAGGAGGGTACAGTCAAATTGCTTAATGAAAGGCATCTGATTAAGACACCAGCATATCACAACCGTTGCATCGTAGCTCCATGTAAATTGTACGTGTCCATTCGACTCTGCTCTGTGAGAACTTTTGCATGAAGGCTCCTAGCACTCCTTTTTGTTTGCAGTCATGATCTTTCCTCTACAGACATCAATACAGCCTGGAGGTAGAGGACAGATCAGAAATTGGTTAGAGTTTTTATGCTATTTTTCTCCCTTTTCTAGATCCAGGCACTTCAGTCTTAATGTCCTTCATTATCAGAAGAAGAAATCCAAATGTGAATAGCGCTAATGAAAGCAGCCCTCCAAAGTCCCGATCCCTGCACTAAAATAAGTCACGTTTCCGTGGCCTTGTTTCCAGAGGCAATAGGTGTCCGTTACCCTTGCTGGAGGCAACGGGGCCTTCAAGGTCTGGTCCCCGTGGCTGATGAGGACCCTCGGTCACTAGCTAGTGGGGTAGGGGCACGCCACGTCCCAACACGCATGCCCACCTTTTCTGTTCTTGCAGACATGCTGGTGGGTTTGCTCATCTGTGTTGACTGGGCTCACCTTTCTGTTTGGTGGTTTGAACCTTGGGAACGCCTGCCAGAAAGATGCAAGACTGTTCGCATCCCTGTGAATGTCTCCCAAAAGAAGTTAGCTACAGGGAGGTGGAGGTGTTCCCACTTTCCTCTTTCTGGCCCTCTGTGAGCAGAATGAGATCCATTTAGGAATAAACAGGAGTACCCCAGTGTTTTCCAGGGGTAGCTGTGGGTTGTTTTGGATATATCAAGGAATCGGTTGAACTTTCCAGTTGCTCTTTGTGCTTTTTCAGACTGGCAGAGTGCTGAACTGGAGGTAGGAGGCAGGTGTTAAAAGTCCTGCTGAGCACCATCGTCTTTGTTTTACTTCCAAAATATCATCCCTGGTACTAGCACAAACACTGAGCAGCAGTTTTGATATTTGGCTTCTCAGAGGGAGAAATGTATCTGCAGGTCGTGGCTACCAAAAGGCAGTTGTAACCAGCTGTGTTCAGCATCTTTATTACTTGTTGAAGGAAGCGAGTGCTGCATGAGGAGCATTCCCGATCACCCGTTGCTTGTTCAAGCTGTGGTGGTTGGTACGGTTACTGTCTTGATTCCTGGAGACCACTGCTCTTTACAGGAGGAACCAGGACTCTTCAGGAGACCTGTAGCAACAGCTGGTTAGATTGCTAGACGTGACTGCAGCTGAGGTTAGAGTCTGTCTGATAGGGAAATGCTGGAAGATTACGGGGATGGAAAGTAATGGGTAGGCTGGCTTATTGCTGTTAAATATTTCTATTATCAAGATTTAATTTGAATTTATTACCTAAAGGCTCCAGTTTTGACCTTGACTTGAAATTAGACGTGCAGCTCACAGTGAAGAGCTCTGATTTTGCTCGGGGCTGCCCACAGGTTCGCTCTGCCGCCCGTGCAGAGACCTGCCAGCAGCACCCGGGCGGCACTGGCCCCAAAATGAGTTAGCCAAGTTAGCGCTGGGGTAGCCTGCCGCGGGGTGCTGGGCAGGGCTTTGGGGTGAGCAGAGGGCACGTCCCCGGGCGCTGCGGAGCCGAGCTCTTTGCAGGTCCCCCGGCTCCCAGGGGATGCTGAAGCGTGAGCGGCTGCAGAGTGCGTGGAGCCGCGTGTCGAGTCCTCACAGAGGGATCGTTTTGTTTGATTTGTTCCTTATTCTCAGTCATAACCTTTGAGATCTCACCCTGTCATTGCATTTATGTTGGTGTTTTGTTGATTTATTTTGTTCCATTTTCTCCCAGGCCCCCATGTCTTCCCCCTAAGCCACAGAAAATGAGGAGACCTAGGCCTCTCTCAGTCTATAATCATAAACTCTTTAACGGCAATATGGAAACGTTCATTAAGGTACTCGCTGACTGACAGTAAGAGTTTATGAACGCTGTGAATGTAATGGTGGCTTTCCTGTCCTAACTGCTGGCTGCTTTCCTTCCTCGGCGGGGTCTCTTGTCCGCTGTGCACCCAGTTGACGTGGCCAGTGCGTGCTTTGCCTCGGTGACGATTTCTCTCCATAGCTGTCCTCGCCCCTCGTGCGCTCCCGGCGTTACCCGTCCCGTCCCCGCCTGCGTGCCCACGTCCCTCGTGGCCGGTGGCCATGCTGGCCGGCTGTGTGGCGCGGGGCCCTCTTGCCCATCCCGGGATCAGACAGCAAGCACAACCCACCCCAGCACCCTCAAAGGATCCCCTCCACCTTCACTTTTTCCACGCGTTTTTGGTGGTCGTCCTCCCCCGTGGCTGAGGAGGAAGATAAAGCAGCTCGTAAGCTCCCAGAAAGCGTCTCCCAGTTGTGAGGACTGGCAGCCCGGTATTGAAACCCCGTGCGTGTGGGCGGCTGTGTGGGAGGGCAGACGTGCTGTCCTCGTCCTTACACAAAACAGATTGATAGTACCCAGCCCCGCTGGCTCGTCTCGGTGCCAGCGGCTGGTGGGGGGTGGCTGCGGCCCCCTCGTACCGGTGGGCCAGCCTGTCCCCGCGGGCGGCCATTGCCTGGGGACGGGACGGGACGGGACGGGACGGGAGAGGAGAGGCGGCAGGTTGTGTGGCGGCTGCGGCGCCGCAGGCCGAGGCTGCTGACACGCAGCGCGCGGCCTTCACGGCCGGGGGCCGAAGGATTTTCTTCCTTTAGGCCGGGGCGAGCTCAGATGAGCTCGGTTCGTGCTAGTGCAGCCCCAACGGCAGGGGACGTTGGGCCCTGCTCATCCCGGGAAATTGCCCAGAAGGAGAGATTTGAGGAGAAAAACGGAGAGGCGTGGACATGGGATTCATCCCGAAGGGTATCTCCAGATGTCTGGCTGCTGATCTTCTGACATCCAGCACTTTGCTATTGCCTGGCTGCTGGAAAGCTTTCCAAAGGAATCGATGCCATTCCCGTTGCTCGGAGTGTTTAATCCTGTGCTGAAGAAAGTTTTAGTGAAAATACTGTAGGAAGCAGTAGTGACAAACTGTTGGCTTAGGTAAACTAACAGGCATTGTCTGGCTCCGGTTTATTCTTACAAGCTCTTTTAGTGCAACCGTAAGCCTCAGGGCAGTGTTTATAAACAGCACACTGTCACTAGTAATATACGGGCCTGGCTGACAAAGCCGGTAATCTCTTTAATACTTGTAATTATTCCTTGCTTCAACTGATTTTTTTTTAAATAATGCTCATTAGAGTCCAGCCTGCTCAGCACTGTGGAGGAGGAATTATCTGCAGTGGGGATCTCTCCGAGCGGACGGGGGTCCTCGGGGGACGGTGCCGTGCCGTGGGGGTGTCCTGGGGGACGTGGGAGACGTGCGGGCACCCGCGAGTCCTGGGGCTTGTCCTGGGGCTGCCAGTGCCACCCGTTCAGGGAGCGAAGAAATCCGAGAGGCTCTTTCTGCCGGTCGCCGAGGCTGGGGTGCAGCGGGCCAGACGGGGTTGGGGAGGGCGGGTGGGCAGCCCGAAGGGGTCGGACCTTGCTAAGCTGCCATTGCATTTGAGCGTTCATGGCCTCCGAAAGAGATGCCTACCTCTAACCGAACTTATCCTTGCTTAATCTTTTCTTTTTTTCCTGCTCTGCTGCTTTTTTGTGTTCTCAGAGGAAGGAGGAATGCGCGAACGAGAAATCAGGTATTTACTGGAGGCCCATCTATGAGACGGAGTAAATTAACCAGAGAGATGCAACTGTACTCTACTGGAAAAACAGCCAAACAAAGGCCCTAAGGAAAATAAATGTCCACTTAGGCAGTCGGACACGGCTCATGTTCCCCCTTGAGCTCCTTATGCAAGGGGCCTGGAGAGAAGCAGCTTTGAAACAAAAGCCAAAACTCATCACAGGTTCAGATACAGGCAGTTCATTTCACACACTGGTGTTTTGGTTTGTTTTTTTTTTTTCTTTTTTAGCATCTGCTGACAATGGCTCTTTCTTTAGGTGGAAATATTGTTGTAAGCTCTGTTACTGGAAGCTTACTTCATCAGATAGGTATAGTGCAAGTTTTATTTTGGCTCAGCATTACACCTTTGAAACGGAATAGCTGTGATCCAGTTGCATCAGTCCCCTGTCTCAACCAGATAGTGAGCAGCAGCCTTTCACATGCTCTAGTGAAAGCTTGTTTTGTGCATAATTGACTGCACATACTATATTCAGCACTTTTTGATGGCTTGATGTGTGTAATGCCTCCTTTTCTTGCCTGTCCTCTCACTAAACTCAATAGCACTGATCTTCAAATCTCTGTTTTCGCAATCTTTAATGCATTTCCTGTGCTTTGTTATCAATAAACCAGTAATTTTTTACTTTTTCCTTTCTGTTCATGAAGGATTCAGGACAGGCTATTCCGCTTGTAGTAGAAAGCTGCATTCGTTACATCAATTTGTACGGTAAGTTGATTCAGTAATATCAACAAAACCTTTCTGCCAAGGAAATTAAGTACCTGTAGTTAGCAGTGAAGTATAGCAGAGATTCCTGCAGGCCTTGCTACGTGGTCTCAAGTTGTAATTACAGTGGCATTGACTGTGATGTAGCATTGGATGACTGGCAAATATTTAGGTCTTGTTAGCCCTTACTCAAGTTCAGTTGTTCGCTCAGGCCCCAAGCCAACGGGAGCCCTTTCAGCGCTTTGCTCTGGGGGACCTTGACTGGAGAATGTGAGCAGAAATGAGTCGTAGCAAGCTGTCCCCTTCATGCTCTGCGCATTTCTGGGTGCATCAACCCCTAGTTTCTGCTGTTCTTTACCAGAAAGTGCTGTGTGACAGTTACAGAAATCTGTTCTAAAAGGTTGTTCTTTTCTAGGCCTTCAGCAGCAGGGCATTTTCAGAGTCCCTGGCTCCCAGGTGGAAGTCAACGACATCAAGAATTCCTTTGAGAGAGGTGTGTTGCCAGGGTGTGAGGCTGCAGCTGGGATGCCGTGTCCCGGCAGAGATCGTTGGTGGGGGTTGCAGTGTGTGCTGGGTGCATTAGACATTGTGTAAAGCCTGTGCTAAAGGCCTTTCTGCTACGAGACACGAGGAGGTTTTCTCCCCTTCTAGGTGTCTCGGTATTGCATGTCCAGCAATAGCAGAGAGTCACTTAGGGAAAGAGTATGAGAAGTAAGGGTAGGTGCAGAGACCTTTTCCGCAGTCATTAATTAAGAGCGTAAAAGCCTCAGCCATAAACCAGTTTGCTGGGGATCCCTATCCTGCTTCCTGCAGCGGTTTGTCAAGGGAGGAGCAGCATTGCCACGTGTACCTGGAGGCAGTGTTGGTTGTGGAGCTGCCCCTGCTTCTGTTGAGAAAATCCCATGGCAGGTGCAAGGCTGGCAAGAGGGGGCAGAGCAATCCTGCTGGCACGGAGCGAAGGTGAAGCTGTGAAAGGGACGGTGCAGGTGGGGGTAGCGGCCCCCCTGGCGTTAATCTCTGAGCAGCCTCGGAAGGATCGGGGTGAGGGTGGCCAGGCCAGCGAACGCAGCAGTGGTGGGACTGTCAAAGGCTGGAAGGTTTGCACATCCGGTGTAAGAGGAATCTGTGTCCAAGTCCCTTAGGTTTTGAAAGCCCTGATCTAAGTTGGTACAATGTTATCCAGAACCATTCAGTCTATTCCAGAGGCATAATTGCATCCTCCAGCCAAGCCTGTCTGCTCAGGCTTTCACCCACCACCCTTTAGATCTGCTCAGCTCTCTGAGCTGTTGCCTTAAATGCAAAAATGCACTGGGCTGGAAACTGTGAAAGAGAGCCAATTAATAACATCTTCAGGAAAGGTTTAAAATCTCCACAATAAACTGGGGTTTTGTAGGGGGGACTATAGCACGTCTCAGCACGATGCCGTGTAACAGAATACCTTATTAAAATCTCCTCTTGCTGGCAAAATGCATAGCATTACCAGTGCACACACTCTTCTGAGCTGGGGGAAATTTGGGGTTTCCACTGAGTTAGGAAAAAACACTTGCTGTCCTAGTCTGACTTGACAGTAATGCTGGAAATAAAAACTCTTCTCTGGGCAGGTGAAGATCCCCTTGCTGATGATCAAAATGAACGTGACATTAATTCAGTGGCTGGAGTCTTGAAGCTGTATTTCCGAGGACTGGAAAACCCACTCTTTCCCAAGGAAAGGTTTCAAGATTTGATATCTACTATAAGTAAGTACATGTGGCAGCTCTTCTCAGAGAATAGGATGGGACAAGAGAAGCAATAAACGGGGAGCAAGTACCCATGAGTTTTGCAAATAGCAGCGTGTGCTGTGAGAAGGGCTGTAGGTCTGCAGTGGAAGTTGTTAGGAAAAGACGTTACGAGCGTGCATTGGCCACGCTGGAGGGGAGGGAGAGATAAAACATCTTGCTCTGGCTCTTTTAAAATCCTCCCAGCATCACGAGGACCGCCAGAGTGCTCTCCAAGTGCAGGCCCGCGGGCTGCACGTGCAGCAAGCCTGGGCACACGTCTGTGGGTTGTGTGAGGGGTCATTAGCTGCTCGAACAGGGCCGGGCGCTGTCCTGCCTGCTCGGATCTCTGTGGGCAACGGAGAGGCACCCAGCGGGGTTTTGCTGCTTTGGCTCAGCACCTGCTACTAAACATAGTGAAGGTCAAGAACTCCTGGCTACTTAGAAAGCTTCTTCAACCCTTGACTCTGCAGACGTGGTTTCAGCTCCACTCGATCAGCGGTTCTCCACGTGTTTGCTATGTGCATTTCCCGTCCCAAAGAAAACCGGAAAGTGCTTTGGGATATGAGCAGAGGTGGAAGCTGACGGGTTTTAATCAGGAAGGTCTGGGATCGATGTCAGGGAGAGCCTGGTCGCTTCTTGTTCTGTCCCGAATTCTCCTTCCAGCTCCACAACTGAAGAAACAGATATCCCAGCTGGGCTTTATTTCTCTCAGTACCTTGTAGTGATGACATTTATTTATTGGCAAGTCATGGAAAGTACTCCCTTGGGGCAAAGGAAGAAGACAGAATGAATGTGATGTTTCAGAGATGATGGAGGAGCATGTTGTGCACTTTGGCTACAGGATGACTTTATTTTACAGGAGAGGCGTCGGGGTTGTTTGGGGTTCAAGTGTCTCAGTACGTGGGTAGCTTTCGGGGGAGCGACTGTGAACATGTGCTGAAGTCCTTTGTTCAGCTTTCCCTGCTCAGGGCTCCTTCCCCACTTCTTAACGTGCGTGACTGCGAGAGATTTAGGGATGTCAAGAAAGACAGACGATAGCTAGAGGGGAGTGACACAGGGATGGGCTTGTTCCAGAAGGAGAAGAATGTGCTCTTATTTTTCAAGAACAGTTGTTTTCTGTAGTAGCTTTAGGAAAGTCACCATTGCTTTGCAATTTTGATGTGTTAGACGGTGCAGCACACCTGTAACATGGCAAACGAAGCTGTTCCTGCACCAGTTTCGTGCCCCGGCCAGGGATTTTTAGCCTGACTTGCCCTGCTCACTCCGGCTGCCCTCCCCGAGGGGCTCACAGCAGGCAGAGCAGGGACCCTCAGGGGGCAGAGCCCGCAGAGAAGGGGACAGGTGCCCTTTTGTGCCAGGAAATGTGCCTGGTGCTTGGTGGTGTGACTGTGCTTGCAGATGGGCTTGTGCTTTGAAACCCTCCCTAATTAATGCCAATTTGCACAATTTGTTAAGCTTTTGGGAGCTTTTCATTGCAAACATCATCTGCTGGTTTGCTGGATAGTATTCTTGTATATATTGTTTCTCATTTCAGCAAGCATTTTCCTTATCTTCATCTTTCCTTTCTTATCCAGCTGCTGTTGCTGCCTTTTGATCAAGGGCAGATTTGAAATGAAGTGCTGACTTTCTGCCACATAAACGCAGGCTGTCTGTGATAGGTGTCCCAACCTAAACAGACTGGAGGAACCTTCTCTCTTTGAGAAACGCTGCTCAGGAAGATGCCACCTTTGCTCTCAGACGCTTTCTCTCATTTGGAATTACGGCAGAAAGGTTGAAGGCAGCTGAGCGGTTTGGGCTCTGCACCGCACTGCGTCCCAAAGCCGCCTCGCTCCGCTCTCTCCCGGTGAGGCGCTCGTTCCCGGTGAGGCGCGCTCTCCCGGTGAGGCGCTCGCTCCCGGTGAGGCGCTCGCTCCCGGTGAGGCGCTCGCTCCCGGTGAGGCGCTCGCTCCCGGTGAGGCGCGCTCTCCCGGTGAGGCGCTGTCTCCCGGTGAGGCGCTGTCTCCCGGTGAGGCGCTGTCTCCCGGTGAGGCGCTATCTCCCGGTGAGGCGCGCTCTCCCGGTGAGGCGCTCGCTCCCGGTGAGGCGCTATCTCCCGGTGAGGCGCTGTCTCCCGGTGAGGCGCGCTCTCCCGGTGAGGCGCTCTCTCCCGGTGAGGCGCGCTCTCCCGGTGAGGCGCTGTCTCCCGGTGAGGCGCGCTCTCCCGGTGAGGCGCTGTCTCCCGGTGAGGCGCTGTCTCCCGGTGAGGCGCGCTCTCCCGGTGAGGCGCGCTCTCCCGGTGAGGCGCTCGCTCCCAGTGAGGCGCTCGCTCCCGGTGAGGCGCGCTCTCCCGGTGAGGCGCTCGCTCCCGGTGAGGCGCGCTCTCCCGGTGAGGCGCTGTCTCCCGGTGAGGCGCTCGCTCCCGGTGAGGCGCTCGCTCCCGGTGAGGCGCTCTCTCCCGGTGAGGCGCTCGCTCCCGGTGAGGCGCTCGCTCCCGGTGAGGCGCGCTCTCCCGGTGAGGCGCTGTCTCCCGGTGAGGCGCTGTCTCCCGGTGAGGCGCTGTCTCCCGGTGAGGCGCTATCTCCCGGTGAGGCGCGCTCTCCCGGTGAGGCGCTCGCTCCCGGTGAGGCGCTATCTCCCGGTGAGGCGCTGTCTCCCGGTGAGGCGCGCTCTCCCGGTGAGGCGCTCTCTCCCGGTGAGGCGCGCTCTCCCGGTGAGGCGCTGTCTCCCGGTGAGGCGCACTCTCCCGGTGAGGCGCGCTCTCCCGGTGAGGCGCTGTCTCCCGGTGAGGCGCTGTCTCCCGGTGAGGCGCTGTCTCCCGGTGAGGCGCGCTCTCCCGGTGAGGCGCGCTCTCCCGGTGAGGCGCTCGCTCCCAGTGAGGCGCTCGCTCCCGGTGAGGCGCGCTCTCCCGGTGAGGCGCTCGCTCCCGGTGAGGCGCGCTCTCCCGGTGAGGCGCTGTCTCCCGGTGAGGCGCTCGCTCCCGGTGAGGCGCTCGCTCCCGGTGAGGCGCTCTCTCCCGGTGAGGCGCTCGCTCCCGGTGAGGCGCTCTCTCCCGGTGAGGCGCTCTCTCCCGGTGAGGCGCGCGCTCCCGGTGAGGCGCGCGCTCCCGGTGAGGCGCTGTCTCCTGGTGAGGCGCTCTCTCCCGGTGAGGCGCTCGCTCCCGGTGAGGCGCTGTCTCCCGGTGAGGCGCTGTCTCCCGGTGAGGCGCTCGCTCCCGGTGAGGCGCTCTCTCCCGGTGAGGCGCGCGCTCCCGGTGAGGCGCGCGCTCCCGGTGAGGAGCGCGCTCCCGGTGAGGCGCGCTCTCCCGGTGAGGCGCTGTCTCCCGGTGAGGCGCTGTCTCCTGGTGAGGCGCTCGCTCCCGGTGAGGCGCTCGCTCCCGGTGAGGCGCGCTCTCCCGGTGAGGCGCTCGCTCCCGGTGAGGCGCTGTCTCCTGGTGAGGCGCTCGCTCCCGGTGAGGCGCTCGCTCCCGGTGAGGCGCTGTCTCCCGGTGAGGCGCTGTCTCCTGGTGAGGCGCTGTCTCCTGGTGAGGCGCGCTCTCCCGGTGAGGCGCGCTCTCCCGGTGAGGCGCGCTCTCCCGGTGAGGCGCGCTCTCCCGGTGAGGCGCGCTCTCCCGGTGAGGCGCGCTCTCCCGGTGAGGCGCTCGCTCCCGGTGAGGCGCTCGCTCCCGGTGAGGCGCTGTCTCCTGGTGAGGCGCTCTCTCCCGGTGAGGCGCTCGCTCCCGGTGAGGCGCTGTCTCCCGGTGAGGCGCTGTCTCCTGGTGAGGCGCTCGCTCCCGGTGAGGCGCTCGCTCCCGGTGAGGCGCTGTCTCCTGGTGAGGCGCTGTCTCCTGGTGAGGCGCTGTCTCCTGGTGAGGCGCGCTCTCCCGGTGAGGCGCTCTCTCCCGGTGAGGCGCTCGCTCCCGGTGAGGCGCTCGCTCCCGGTGAGGCGCTCGCTCCCGGTGAGGCGCTCGCTCCCGGTGAGGCGCTCGCTCCCGGTGAGGCGCTGTCTCCCGGTGAGGCGCTGTCTCCCGGTGAGGCGCTCTTTCCCGGTGAGGTGTTGTGGGCGAGGTTTTGGCAGCGGGAGCCGCCGTGTGTGTCGCAGGGCCGCTGAGCACCCCTCGAAGCTGCAGGGCCGGGTGGTTCCCTGCCGATGGGGTGGGGGAGCCAGGCTGCTGGGGGCAGGCGAAAGGCTGGCTCTTTTGTGTACAGGTGGTGAGAGTTCGTGTGGAAACGTTTCTCAAAGGCACATGAGAAATAGATGGATTGAAAAGGCACTTTGTTTGCAAAGGTTCGTTCAGGGGAGTGCCTGCATTGTAGAGTGATTGATGATTACTCCATTAATTCCCCTGAATTGCAGCCAGTTGAAACATTTTGCTAAGTGAAAAAGTGCCTTAAGACAATTTGTTCCTCGAATAAACGGCAGCTCAGCTACATGTTGTCAGTGAATTTTATTATGACTAGCAAATGTCAAAGTCTGAGCCAGCATAGTAGAGTAAGCATCTCTTCCATGCATCTGAAGCCAACTGCTCTCAGGAAAGCTTTGATACTCTTTGTCTGCTTTCTGTAAAATAAAAGCCACAGGATTAACCCCCTACATAATATATTGAGCAGCCACTGACCCTGTACGGTGCTGAGCCTGCTTGGCGGGCTGGGCCTGGAGCAGGGTTCCCGCAGCGCTGCGGGTGAAGGGGGCAGCTGTGGGGGGGCTGCGGGGGGGCTGCAGGGGGGCCATGGCACCCTGTGGCTGTGGGGGGCTGTGGGGGGGCTGCGGGGGGCTGCGGCACCCTTTGGCTGCAGGGGGATGTGGGGGGGCTGCAGGGGGCTGCGGCACCCTTTGGCTGCAGGGGGGCTGTGTGGGGGCTGCGGGGGGCTGCGGCACCCTTTGGCTGCATGGGGATGTGGGGGGGCTGCAGGGGGCTGCGGCACCCTTTGGCTGCAGGGGGGCTGTGGGGGGGCTGCAGGGGCTGCGGCACCCTTTGGCAGAGGGGGGGCTGCCGGAGGGGGGGGCGGGCAGAGCAGCAAGGTGGCTCCAAGTCACCCTCCTGCCTCCAGAGAAGCTGGTTTCCGATAGCAGCGATGGGCGCTGTGCGCTGCTGTGGGGAGAAGTGAATCTTCAAGTGCTGACTCGCAATGGGTTCTGATTAAATTCCTGGTAAAACCAGGGGGAGACTGGAGCAGCAGGGCTCAGAAGGGCCCGATGGTTAACTTGGGTAACTCAAAACCTGCACTAGGAAACCAAGGGGTGCTCCGTTTTCCAGTGCCACACTGACTCGGGCTTGTGAGAAATAGAGTGGTTGTTGAGGAATGAACTAAATAATGCATAAATAGTTATTCTGAAAATGAAACCGTGGAAATGTCTTCATTTGCTGTTTATACTGAATCTGAACATATGTATGAATTCACCCATGGAAGAGCACTGTGCCCGATTCTCTGCTTGCGCCTTAGTGCCAAACCAGTGGCTCAAACCTGGAAACGGGCTATTGTTTTCCTTGCATAGTGGGCTCCTAGATCTGGAGCAAGTCCCTCTGGTGCCACGTGGTCTGGTCCTGAGAAGGTTTAAAGATGTGCTTTCTGTCCGTGTGTTCCAGAAATCGAGAACCCCACGGAGAGAGTACACCAGATCCAGCAAATCATCATCACTCTGCCTCGGGCTGTCATCGTTGTCATGAGATATCTTTTTGCTTTCCTTAATCAGTGAGTCTTGGGTTTTTTGCTCTTTCACTGAGTTTCTCCTTGCCCTCCTTTTTTTTCAGGGCTTCCTTGTCTTTGTTGCATGACTCCTTTTTGGCATTGCCACGGGCAGTTGTGTTTTGCTGCTTCCTCAGCCTTGCCTAGCCATGGCTGTGTGCCTGGGGAAGGCGTGCAGCTCCGTGACCATTGCTTTCCTGGGTGCTGGGGGTTTGTTGGTGGGAGATTTTTCTGAGCGAACGGGGAAAGTCAGCCCCTTCCCTCCCTAACGCTTGTGCTTGCAGCTTGTCGCAGTACAGCGATGAGAACATGATGGATCCCTACAACCTGGCCATCTGCTTTGGGCCCACGCTGATGCACATTCCAGATGGGCAGGATCCGGTGTCCTGCCAGGCCCATGTCAACGAGGTCATCAAAACCATCATCATTAACCACGAGGGCATCTTCCCCAGCCACAGAGAGCTGGAAGGACCTCTCTATGAGAAGTGCATGACTGGAGGGGAGGAGTACTGGTAAGGAGCGGGGACAGGACTTCACTGTTTGCAGAACTTAAGGCCAGATCCCCTTGCTGGGGTTATCTTCCGGCACTGTACGTTCAGAGCGAAGCCGTGACAAAGTGCAGAGCTTTGCCTTGATTCCTGACACACAGGACTGGCCCCACTCACATGAGTGTAGGAGAAGGGATCTCGGGAGCAGATCCCCCGAGGATGGGCCGTGAGGAGAGCTTTGGGGAAGTTCAGACTTAATATTCAGGGCAGCCGAGCACAGCACTGGGGTGAATTTGCCCCTCTGCAGAAAAGCGGCATGCTTTTTTGCATTTATCCCTGTTCAATGCTATGAATTAGGAGTGCAAGTGATATATATATGATATGCTTGTGCTGTTTGACACTGCTGGTTAAGAATCTGATGCCACACCAGGCTGTCTGCATGGTTCTTCATTATAAATACCTTCATAAAACTAGGAGGACTTTGCACACCTAACCAGTTAGTCTCTACTTATATACATCGGTTTTGCTTTTGAGTTTAGCCTTGCCAGTTAAAAAGAGTAGGCAGTTTCACTGAGTATTTCTTTCTTACGCTGACTCAGCATTATAAACCTCAGTAAAAACTTCAGGAGAACCTTTTTTCCAGTATGAATATTAATATTTATGAAGATTCTTTTAGCTGCAGATTCACAGAAGTGTGTTCAGAGCAGAGCAGAATTTTAGGTCAATTCCAAATTCCTTCTAGGTTGGAATTTTTGAGTAAAGTCCCATTTGCTAGTTGGATGAAGTCCCTTAGCCCAAAGTGAACCTGACCATTCCAGTTCCTGTCAGTGTTAGAAGACGGATGAGTTTGTGTTAGCTGTGGATGGGATCAGCCGCGTGCGATTGCATTGCATCCTGTCTTTCTGGTGCACAATTTGCCTGACTTGGTACACCCAGGGTAGGAAAACTCCATCAAAAAACTCCACATTAGAAGTGTAAGTGGTACTACACACTTGTCTGGAGGATGCTGGAATTCTAAACCGACATTCAGATCTGAATTTTAACAAATCAGTATTTATAAGAGCCTTGAACTGATTTTTGTGCAAGTTTTACACACTTTTGAGACCTAACCTTCCCTGATGCTCATCACCTGCCACCATCCTTACTGGTGCCAGTGGAAGATAAAATGCGAAAACTCACTGTGAATGAGTGAGGGGCACACTTAAACTTGGTATGACTTTATATTCGTTTTGCCAAATATGAGTAAGACCCATGAGCAACAGAACGTGATGTTCTGTGCCTGAGGATCGCGAGTGTCTGCTGCTCCCAAAGCAAGTTCAGAGATCTGCTGTGGTTTAAAATGACCATCTCGGTCCTATGAGGAACTAAAAACGCAACTCTCAAGTATCACCGGGGCCAGAATTTCCCTCAACAACCGACTTTTGCTAAGTGCCTTAGGAGCAGAATCTCGGTCTGTCTTTGAAAGCGCGGTGTGTTGCATTTCAGCGACAGCCCGCACAGCGAGCCAGGCACCATCGATGAGGTTGACCACGACAACGGCACGGAGCCGCACACCAGCGATGACGGTGAGCGCAGGCGGGAGCAGCGGGCGGTTGGGGCTGGGTTGGCCGAGCTGTGCGTGGGGGAGAGCAGCGGGCGCTTCACTCCTGGTCAGAGTAGAGGCTGCCCCAGTGTCTGGCGCTCCAGTGCGGGATGCTGGGTTTGTGTGCTTAGTAAGGAGCATCCATATTAATCAATGTCGCGTGCAGGTTTGCCCCACGGGCTGTACGTGGACCGTCCGTGGCAGGATACAGGGCTTGGTTTTGCGGAGCTGTTCTAAGAAATTCCACTGACCCCATATACGAGTCTTTTTTTCCTTTGTCATCTGCTCTTACGTGCAGCCACGTGGTGGTGAGGACGCGCTGTGTGAAGTGGCTCACGAGAACAGGAGGGGAGATGGGGGCTGGCATGGGGGGGCCAGTTCTGTTTGCTCCAGGCCCTTGGATGCACCAGTGAAGGTCAGTGGCCCCGCTGGGGCCCTCTGAAGTGAGGAGGTCTTTCAGCTGATTTCCTCAGGCCGTGGATCAGCCCCTGTTGAGCAGCCTTCTCCCTGGCAGAAGCTGAATGCCCCTGTATTTGAACGAGCTGCAGCCTGGTTTTCCCCACAGGCGGCTCTGTTTCCTTCAGTGACAAAGCACCCGCCTGCTCGTTTTTGCTCATGTCAGGCCCGTGGAGCTGTCTGGCTTTGGAGGGCGAAGCAGGGTGTGTTGTGAGCCAGGACCGTGCGGATGGGTGCAGCCGGGTGTGAATCCCTTGCAACTGGGTGCATCATCCGTGTTGTGCAACTCGCGGGAGGAGGCTCAGGTCCCGCGTTCTGTAAGCTCCTGCCTGGCTGCACGTCTGTGTAAACCAGCTCGGAGCATCTAAAAGCTGCAAAGCTCACGGCGATCACAAAGGCAGGCGTGGAAACGGGGGTCCTGGCAGAACTGGGCAAGAAAGAAGCGTGTTCTCTCCGGGACGCGGCACCGAAGCAGGGGGAAGCGCTTCGCTGTGCTTCCTGCGCCCTGGAGCCACTGGCACCGCGGCCACGGGGCGGGTCCGGGACACCCCACGGCACCGTCGGATGGCAGGACTTTGCTGAATGCCTCTCCTGCTTTCCTGATGGCTGCGGTTTCCCTGGATGTGTCCGGCCCCGCGGAAGGCTGGCGGGAGGCCGGAGGGCTGGCGTGGTGGGGAGGAGGGGAAGGGCGCAGCTGGGCTGGACAGCTCGGGACCTGCTTTCAGCTACCGACAGGAGCCCACGGGACTAGGAGATGAAGCTGCCATTTAGCCAGTTTTATGCTTGTGCGGTCACATTAATAGCTCTGATTGGAGTTTCTGCGTGATTAACTGTGGTGCAAGTGTAGAGAAGAGGCTTAGCTTTATTTTGTGAACTTACATACTCCTTTTTCCCCGCACCCTGCCTGCTGGGAAACTCAGTATTTTATCAGGGCTGTGAAAGCCGTCCTGGTAGCCTCCCCCACTACATTTCCTCTGTGTGGATTTTGTCACTGAGCAGTGACAGGTCGCATCCTGAGCGCTGCTGATGCCGAGCCTGCGGTTAGTGCCGAGGCAGACGGAGCAGAGCGAGTTTCAGTGTTTTAATGAGAACGTGACAGATCTGGAGGAACTGGGCGGATTTGCCCCGTTTGGCTTTGTGATCGCCCGTCTGCCAGTCTCCAGGTGGGGTTTAAAATGATCGGGTATCTCAAGTAATCAAGTTATATTAACTGCTTGCGTGCTGGCTCCAAGAGCGGCTCGAGGTGGTCGAGTGGTGGCAGCCTGCTTTTTCACCCCTGTCTCAGAGCAAAGTGAGGTGGAGTGCGGTTTGCTCCTGCCAGTGCAGAGAGAAACGCTGTCGCCGCCTTGCAATCGCTGCAGCGGTTTCTCTGGGATTCAGTGCTCCCAGCTGGAAACAGATTTGCAGAAGAGCTGGGCTCCTCCACGGGCTCCTCAGTTCCAACCAGGCTCCTCTTTGGGCGCAGCAGCAGCTCCCACGGTGATGCCCTTGGCCGGGGGCTCAAAGGCTCCTGGTGTGCTCACAACCTCCCGCAGTGAAGTCCTGCCTCAGCCCTCCTGAACTTCAGGCCCTGAGTTCCTGATCTGTGAATCCCTGGCGTTTGGTAGAACTTCAGTTAGAAAAAGTGGCGGAGTGATGAAGTTGGGGTGCTGGGAGGTCTGCAGATGTGGGGGGGTGATGCGGAGCAGCTGCCTGGCCAGAGCCGGTATCACTGTTTCTATGGGGATCCCCAAAGGGGGATTCATTACTCCTCAGTAATTCAGGCCAAACTGTCTCCAGGATAAGGAAAGGGAGAGAAGGTAAACAGGGCTTTGATCACAGTATCTGACGCAGCTTAACAAGATCCCGGTCTGGAGGATAATGGGGTTCTGTAACTGAAGAAATCCCTTTATAGGTAGAAAATGGGAGTGCGAGTGATGGTGCCATATGGACGCAGGGAAATGTCGACTATTTCCCATCTGGTTTGTAGCTTTTTGTAATTTCTGGTAGTTTGCAAGTCTGTGAGAAATTCCGGAGAGGCTAGAAGAGCAAAATGAATTGATGAGTCTAAAAATAAGATGGTTTGTCCTCAGTGTAAGATGCTCTCGGGAAGCTAGCGCAGCGGCGTTAGTGCTGTTCTGGTGAGATGCCTCTTTCTAGGATTTACTGTGCCCCTGTGATTGTTGAACTAAGCTTTTCTCTGCCTGTGCTTCTCTCCTTTGCAGAAGTGGAGCAGATTGAAGCCATAGCAAAGTTTGACTATGTTGGACGAACTCCGCGAGAGCTCTCCTTTAAGAAGGGGGCCTCGCTCCTCCTGTACCACCGCGCATCGGAAGACTGGTGGGAGGGGAGACATAACGGTGTGGATGGCCTCATACCCCACCAGTACATCGTGGTGCAAGACATGTGAGTGAAGCGCCGTGTGCTGATCCAAGGTGTTAAAATAACATAATTACGTGAGGTTCATCTTTAGCCGTCTAAAATAGGTGGTCAGATTTCCCCAGGCTTAATGACTTTGGTGAGAAAGCTGGACCTGTTCGCTTCTGCCTCTCCATGTATTGGCTCAGACTGTTTCTTGTTCAAGCTGACAAAGCCAAGCACTAAATACTCTGCCTCAGGGTGCCCGCGCCCCATCTAACATTGGCTCCTCCGAGTGGCATGACCCAGGCTTAATATTGGCCTGGCCCCCTCTGCACGTTGCCCTGGCATTGCTCAGTGGCCCCAGGGTCCTTCGTGGGTGCCACTTCTGTTACAAGGACTGTTCCCAGAGTCATTAAAGTGGCAGCTACAGCGCAGGGGGGCATGGAGACGCCATGGTCGCTTTTTCCAAGCTCCGGGTGCTGTCTGAAGTGGTGGCCTTGGTCCAGCCCTTCGTTAACAAAGTCCGGAGCTGGTGCAGTGGTGATGCTCAGATGCTGGTTGTGGCTGGGCCCTCTCCTGGGGCAGAGCCCCGTTGCTGATGGGGGTCTCCTTTTCTTAGGGATGATGCGTTCTCCGACAGCCTCAGCCAGAAGGCAGACAGCGAGGCAAGCAGCGGGCCGCTGCTGGATGATAAAGCCTCCTCCAAGAACGACATCCAGTCTCCGACGGATCATATTGTGGACTATGGCTTCGGCGGAGTGATGGGCCGGTAGGGAAACTCTCATTTTCCTGAGAACACAGAGGTGGTCGCTGTCACACGCGGGGAGAGTCAGCGTGTGGTGTAGGGCAAGGCAGAAGGGAAGGCTCCAGCAAGCACTGCAGAATAATACGAGCATGGAGCGGGTTTTCACGTGCATTGCTAATGTAGATCTTAACAAGTAAAGAAGGTGCAATGCTGTCCCTTTCTTGGCGCTGGCTATAATGTCTGTCTTCCCTCTTGCCTTACTCTTCTGGAGCCGAAAGGCTCGAGTTTGGTTTGATCTGAACTCTCAGAGCCGAGCAGTTGTCTTACAGCATGCAAGCAGACGCTTTCGGTCTGACGGACGGTGACCTAGTCTTGTGATGGATTCTTTGCAGAGTGAGATTGAGGTCTGACGGCGCAGCTATCCCTCGCCGTCGAAGCGGGGGGGACACCCACAGCCCGCCCCGAGGGATGGGTCCTGGCATAGACACTCCTCCTCGAGCAGCGGCCTGCCCTAGCAGCCCCCACAAAATACCTCTTAACAGGGGCAGGATTGAGAGTCCCGAAAAGCGCAGAATGGCGACATTCGGCAGTGCAGGCAGCATCAATTTCCCAGACAGGAAGGCCTTGTCTGATGGCCACCCGCTGAGACCGGCCTGTGGATCGACTAGACACAGTAGTCTCGGAGATCAGAAATCTCTAGAAGCAGAAGCGCTTGCTGAGGTAAGAGGGTTGTGAAGTGGCTCTCGGTGCCCAGGGATCGAGAGGCTAAAACAGAAGTCACTTGGGTAGCGCCGCAGGGCCCCTTCCGTCTCAGTGCACTTCAGAATTACAGTGCTGTTGTAGCTGCGGTGGTTTAAAGATAAAAATGAGCAGCCAACAGCTTGCCTGCTTTGCCAGCTGTACCAGCTGGTCTGCTAAAAGATAATGCCTCCTTCCACAAACCTCGTTTCTTTCAAACAATGGACAGAAACGTTCGATCCGCCACCAGAACGCACTGGCAGCTCTTCCCTTCCCACAGGGGGGGAAGCGCGTTATCTTCATCTGTTGCTCCATAAGGAGCTTAGATGGAGGAAACTGCATTTGCCAGATCGGAATTTGGTGCTCAGTGCTTGTCTGGAGACAAGTGCTTCAGGTTTTTGCGACCGGCTGCTTGTAGCTGGGACCTCAGAACGTTACTCTAACCCCAGTATGACACCTCCAGCCACGCAGCCGTCGGTTCCACGGCGTTACCCCCAGCCCAGCCTGCAGGTCCGCTCTCCCTGTCGCTGGCCGGAGGCCCCCTGCCCGGGACCGGCCAAGTTCTGCCCAGCCCGTTCACACCTCGGGGAGCGCTCCCTTCACGGAGCAGGCTGCAGAATTCTCCAGCCTCTCGGGGACCACGCAGTCGAGGCCCGGTCCCCGCCGGCGTGTCGGAAGGGCTGGGCCGGGCGCGCCGCGGCCAGGCTGCTCGGCGTGCCGCTCCCAGCAGCTTCCCGGCCGTTTGCTTCGTGCCGGCTCCGGCGCGAGCAGTGGGACGGTGCCCGGCCGGGGGGTGCAGCTGGTGGGGCGGCTGGTGCCCACCGCCCACCAGCTGCTCCTGTGCCGCGGGGCTTGGCGGGCCGGCTGACCTAGCATCGGCTGCGTCCCGTGGGATAATTCATGGCGACTGCGGAGAGGAAGAGCTCTTCCTGTCCTGTTTGCTTTTCCACCAGCCACGCTCCTTGTTCTCTTGCTGTGCGGCACGCTACCCAGCTTCTCTGTCCATCGAGAGCTTGCCTTTGGCGCGACCAGTCTTCCAAAGCCGCGGCGCGTGCCCCGGGCGATGGCTCGAGCTGGGGCACCCACGTCCACCTTGGGACGGGATCGCGGCGTGCACGCCGTCCCCGTGCTGGGCCGGTGGGCAGCAGCCTGGCACCCCCCGGCAGTGCCCGCGGACGCCTGCCCGAGGGCTGCGGGGTCCGGGAGCCTCCGGAGGGGTGGGTGAATGCTGAGGGTGGAGCACGACGTGCACTGGTTTTTTGGCTTTCGGGTTGTTTTTTCTAGACCTTGAAAAAGATTCTCGCTCAGCCGCTGTAAATAATCACTTACCTTGGAGCCTGTAGGACTGCTGGACGCGGTAGTCCTGAGGCTTAGCTCTGGGAGAATATTTTCACTCGTTATCTGAACAGCTTAATAGAATTAAGTGGAGGTAACTTGATAATTATTTCCCTCCCGCTGGTCCTCTGAGCGTCATCTGAGGCTCACCGGGCGTTTTGTACGCATTATAAAATTAAGGACTTGTCTACGCAAGGACAGTGAGGAGGGTTAACTGGAGTTACTTTTTAAACAATCGATTCAGGTGCCTTGAATCACTTTTCAGATGGTCTCTTCCAGAGTTAGTGGCCTTAATTCAGTTAAGGCGGGTTTCCGTGAAGCCAAGCTAGGGCCTCTCTGTTTCTGGATGTGACTCTCAGCACTGCCGTTGTAGGCGATTTAGAGAATTTCCTTTAAAGGGGCACTTCCAGTCGAATTGGGTTCGGGCTCTGGAGGATGCCCGCGGGCAGACGGGTGGAGGCCATGCCGGGGAGGCACGGCGCCAGGCCTTGCCCTGCCTCTCCCCTGGTGACGGCGAGCTGCCGTCGTGCTGCTGGCGCCGCAGCCAGCCCCACGCCATCCCGCCCCGCGCGCGCGGGGGCAGCCGAGGCCCCGGACGCCGGAGGGAGGCTGCAGGGACCCCCCCGTCCTGGGGAAAAACCAGCCGCAGCGCTGCGGGGGAGCGTGAAGGTGGCCTGTCTCGGCGGTGTGCGCCCCCTCCCTCGTGGTGCTCGGGGCTTTGCTCCCGCTGGAGCTGGCGACCAAACTCCCGCTGGCCTGGGAGACGTGGGGCGCGTTTGCGCAGCCAGAGTTTGGGCTTGACGTCTTCTCCCAGAGCTCCTGCTCTGCCTGGAGGCCGTGTCTTAGGTCAGAGACCCCCCCCACCACCACCACAGACACGCGTGCCAGGACGGGGGGGGCCCCTCCACGGGGCGGGGCGCAGGAGAGCGGGGCGGTGCCGCGTCACGGTGCTGACCTCCCTTTGTCTCTGGCGTTCGCAGGACATCGAGAAGACCATGAGCACGGCGCTGAACGAGCTGCGGGAGCTGGAGAGGCAGAACACGGCCAAGCAGGCCCCGGACGTGGTCCTGGACACGCTGGAGCCCATGAAGAACCCCCCGATGGGCGCCGCCAACTCGGAGCCCGCCAGCCCCCTCCACACCATCCTGATCCGGGACCCCGACGCGGCCATGCGGCGCAGCAGCAGCTCCACCACCGAGATGATGACCACGTTCAAGCCGGCCCTCTCGGCCCGGCTGGCCGGGGCCCAGCTGCGGCCGCCGCCGATGCGGCCGGTGCGGCCGGTGGTGCAGCACCGCTCCAGCAGCAGCAGCAGCTCGGGGGTGGGCAGCCCCGCCGTCACCCCCACCGAGAAGCTCTTCCCCAGCAGCTCGGCGGATAAATCGGGCACCATGTAGGCTGGGGCGCGGGGAGAGCCAGCGCCCCGGCGGTGGGAGCGCGGCCGGCAGCTCGGCAAAGCCGCGCTCGGCCGAGCGGGAGGTCCAAACCCTGCTCGAGAGGAGCCTCTCCAAAAGGGGAACAAGCGCGTCGCCTAGGCTTGATGGTTGATTGTACATACGTGTGTGTGTGTGTGTGCGTGCGTGTATGTACGTCTGTGTGCACACACACCCCCATCCATGCAGAAACACTTCCCAAGCTTGCGGTCCCACGGCAGGAGGAGACGGCCGGCGGGTCTATGTGTTGGCACTGGAGAACACACTCTATATGTAGAAGTATATATTAAAAAAAAAAAAAATTAAGTGTACAGAATTCGGTGGCTTTTTTAAAAAAAGTAGATTTACCTCAGAAACTGGCTCTGAAATGTCCTCGTTAGAGATGTCGGGTTGATTTGGGGTTTTTTTCCAGGCTGTTTGTGTGCGTGTTGTGCGTGGAAGTGCGTAGCAGCTGTGCGTTGAGCAATACAAGGCCAATCCTGGAATTTATTTTCTGCACCTCTCGGCATTTAAAAAAAGAAGGCAGGGAGTGGGGAAGATACAGAGCGTTTTGTTCACTGCTGGCCTGTGGAGGAGAGCTGGAACTTCGTAAATGCCAGTGTGTGTCAGGGCGGCTGGAGCGCCTTTCCAAGCCGAATCCCGGGACGCCTTCGCGTGCGCTGTGGTTCCCCGGCCGGCGGCACCCGGCCCGAGCGGGGCCAGAGACCGAGGGGTGCTCCTTCGGCCTCGGGCAGGCAGGAGGACGCTGCTGCTGCTGCACGGGGCACGGTGCTGCCCTGCCTGCACCGCGGGGCCCACGGGACTCCGGTTTTCCTGAAGATTTCAGAATGGACGAGGACTAGTGACAAGCCTGTGGTAAAGCATAAGTAGAGTAACTTACACAGTTTTGAGGTGCTTCGTTTCCTTCTCACCACATGTTTCTTTATCTTTTTTTTTTTTTTTTTTTTTAAAAAAAAAAAGCCCAACCTTAATGGTATCTCAACAGATGGGACTAAACAGACGAGGAGGCTTTGGTACAACAGCATTCCTTTATTTGAAGTTGCACAGCAGTACATGAGAGTCTTGATTCAGACTGCGTCTTCTTGCATGAAAAGCATGAGCCATATTTGACCATATCAGATGCGGAACCGATCTGATGGGGTGATACTTTGCACTTTCTGTACTGTACTATATAATACAACAGTTTGAGTTTATGCAAAAGAATCTACATTTTGTTTTTCCTCTGAACATTCAACCCAGAGAAAAAATATGCAGAAAGAGCTGGGGATTGCATGGTACTTTGATAATCGAGTCTCTTCTGTCAGCGCTGAATCCAAGACACTCTGTGCTTCTCCTGCAGTCGTTTTCTTCCTGCACAGATTTCCACGCAATGACCCGTGCTTTAATTCGGTCACTTCCACGTGATCACGTGCAGCCCCGGCGTGAAACGGGCCGTCGCGTGTCTCAGCAGCACGGAGGAGCCGCGCTCACGGCTCCGTCAAGTTCCCCTTTCCCTCCCGCTCTCTCCGATTTCGGCCGTTCCGTCTGTCCCGGGGCGAAGAAGCCACCGCTCCTCCTGCCTCCCCCCCGCAGCCTCCCGGCCCTGCCCGGGGGTTTTTTGTTGCTCTTCCCCCCAGCGCCGCTGCCGTGCCCGCCGGAGCAGCCCGGCCTCCCGAAGGCAGCGGGCGGCTGGGCCGGGGCCGTGCCCGGGGCACGAGCCCCCTCGCTTGCCCCCGCGCCCGCCCCGGCCGGGCTCTGTATATATCGCTGTACTCGCTGAAATGCTGGAAAGTAACTGTTCACTTGTAAACTGTACAAAAAATAGGCTAAGAGTAGATGAAAGCCAATGCCACTCACCAAATCTTTGCACTTAGTAGGTAGCTCAATGTAAAAATAAAACCCAATAATAATAATAATAATAATAATAAAATAAATAAAAAAACAAAGCCGCAAAGCTAACCTTTCAGTGTACAGTGGGGGAGAAGTACTGTATGTAGTGATTCTGTCATTGTTCCTCCGTATGATGCTGTAAGGGGAAATGGTATTTATGTACTTGTCTGTTAACATTGTTGACATTTGTAATTACCACAATTGGTTCATATTGATGTTTATTTTTCTTCATAATTTTTCCCCCCTTTCCTAACTTAGGCTAACCCTGAGGTCAATGCCTCTGTCATTGCGGGCAGCAGATGTTCAAACAGTCTGTCAGTCTGGTCGAGTAATGAACCAGCAAATGTGCTTTTAGGGGGAGGGAAGAAACCCATTTGGCACGAGCGCTGTGTATTCGTTGCCAGTATTTTTTTTTTTTTTTTTTTTCATTTAGTTCCTGGAGAACATTCACTTTGCCAGTCTTCTGGGTTTTTTTTTAATATACTTTCGAAGATGACTTGATAGCAAAACCATTTTATTAGGGTTTTCTTCCCTTCTTACTTTTGAAGATACGGTACAAGTTCCAGCGTCTTTCTGTTAAATTATTGCCTTTCGTTTTCCTTTGTTTTGTTTTGTTGTGGGTTTTTAATACAATTGTTTTCTTATCTTTAAGTGCCTTTTTGAGCACCAGAACAAATGCTTGGAGTTAATGTCCTAGGAGCTGTACACATCATGATTTCCTTTGTACAGTTGCGTTGTGCTGGGGGTGATTGCTTTTAAAGTCCTTTCGAATTTTTTTTTTTTAAAGAAAACCAAGACATTTTGTTGAAGAGTAAACTACTACCCCTTTTTAATATGGTATTCAAATTGTAGTTTTAACTACTGTAAATTTAAGGGAAGAAATGTATTTTTCTGTAAGCTAGCTTGGCACAAAATTGAGACACGCACGTTGCAGGAGTATCATCACTGGAACCTGCTCAGGCTCTAGGAGTAACTTTACCCTGATCCTCGATACCTCTCTAAAGGCGCGAAGACTGTCGGCTTCAGAGAGCTCGCAGGGCTTTCACTGTGAAAACCTTGGCCGAGCAGCTGCCGCGAGCGGGCGGCGGGAGCGCCGTCCCCGCGGGGCCGCCTTCCCCCGGGACCTGCCACCCGGGAGGAGGGCGTCTGCACGGAGCCGTCGTTTCTCTGCTGTGCAGAGCGAGTGCCGACCTGCGCCCGGGTCCCCGCGGCCCCTGCTCCGGCCTGGCCCGGCCCGGCCCGCGGCCACCTCGGGGAGGGGCAGCTCGAGCCCTCGCCCACCCTCCCCGCGGCTCGGCGTCGCCTTCAACGCTGCTGACTCGAAAGCAGAGGCCCCCCCGGCGGGCTCTCCTCCGCACAGACTTCAGCAACGCGCGCAGGTGTGCCGGGCCCCGGGGTGGTGATGGCAGTGCACCTCCTTCCTTAGGCTGAAGTACCCCTGGTAGGTCATTTTTTGTAAACCCTGGACTGTGTTATTTAACTAGCGGTGGTGTGGTTTTCACGGTGCGGCAGTAGATGTCCCGAGTCTGATCTGCTTGCGAGTGGCTGGGCTGCGTAGGCTGGTGGGGATGGGTCTGGTTACACCGGGAAGCCGTCGGAAACCGCCGGCTGCCTGCCCCTTGTAACGGTCGTCCTCCTCCTCTGGTGTTGTCTCTGTGACGTATGGTGAGATGCCGTTCAGCTAGAGCGTCCGAGTGGGTCCTCTGTCCTGTATGCTGATGATGCCATGTAGATGAAGCCACTGGTTGGGTGTGGACTCATCCCGTTGAATAAAACTGCTTAACTTTTCTCAAAAAAGCACCGGCTGTAGTTTCAGAATATTTGCTGCCTCCGGGAGCGGCGTGGGCCGGCGCCCCGGCCCCTGCCCGCGCCTGCACCCACTGCCCCAGCCCTCGTGCCCTGCAGCCCTGTTGGAGGGGGTGCGGGGTCCCCCGGAGCCCCCGTGCAGCCCCCCCACACCTTCCCGGGCCGGCGGGCAGCCGTGGGGCTGCTGGCCACCGCTCCCCCCGAGCCACGAGCCAGGCCCGCGGCCGCTCGCCGTGGCCGGCTTCGTGTGTTCCGCTGTGTTTGTTTAGACGAACCGCTGAGAGCACAGATGGGCTCTTTCCTCTCAGCCCTGGGCATATGGTGAAAGTACGCAGGGAAGAGAGGTGTAGGCCAATTTGAAGAAAAAAAAGATAAAAGCCCAAACCAACCAACCAGCGCTTCCAAGAGGGCGCAAATTTGCCTGTTTCCACCGGTGTGGGAGGACCTGTGCTCATCTACGCCAGCCAAGATGTGCCCCGCGGGTCAGCGGTGTCGTTTCTCCTCCTAAATGTTACTTAAAACGCGCTTTGGTAGAAACAACGGGAGCGTTCTTCCCCTTTATTTTTGAACAGCTCTTTGCCTTGCAGCTCCCTGCGCTGAAGCCACGGTAGTTAAAGGCTGAGGAAGGGGCCGTGCGGGTGCGCTGGGCTCCTGGGCCGAGGTCTGGTGGGGAAGGGCCCCTCCGTGCCCCCCCGGCTCCTGGGGCAGGAATCGCTTCCAGCCCGCCCTGCCTGCCCCCGTCCTCGGGCAATTAAATCCCTTTGCAAACCTCCTGCTGCGGTGAGAGCACCTTCGGGTGGTTTGGGCGCTCGCCCGCGGGGAGAGCCCGTCCTGGGTGGGGAATCCCCCCCAGCAGCCTTCGTGCGCTGGGTGGGGGCGAACACCCCAGAGGAGCTGAGCTGGGCTGAGCGGCCCCGCTGCCCCCCCCGCCCCGCTCACCCTCCCTGTGCTTTTTTTTTGGGGGGGGGGCGGGGATCAAGGCTCGATCTCCCGTCGTTGCTGCCTCGCTTCTCCCCAACCGTGAGCCCCTCTAAGCAGCTCGGCGCATTAGTGCTCAGCCGTGCAGGGTCAGTACGGCCCTCGAAATGCAGGGGGGTGCTTTGGCAGGGAAGCGCTTGAAGAGTAGGCTTGCTTTTATTTTAGAAAACTGATTACACAGACATTAATTATCCCTGGAGGGGCAAACAGGGGGCTGCAACCAGGACAAGAGCGATTATCTCCTTCCAAAGGGAGGGAGCGAGGGGGCTCAGGGGGCCACGCAAGCCAAGGAGACGGACAAAGGCCCTTCCCGTGGTGGCGGCAGGTCCCTTTAGAAACTCGCTTTTGTTAAGGCTGGTTTGGCGTAAGAAACCTGCCGCCGCGGCGGGGCTCAGCGAGTGTCCCGGGGCCGTGGGTGCTCCCGCTGCAGCTCCTGCTCGAGCAGCCGCCGGCCCGGCTGCGGCGGCGTTAGGCCGCGGTTGGGATCGCCAGGAGTCGTTTATTCAGCCCGTGATGGCCCCACACGTGCGCCTGCCACAGCCTTGCTCAAGCGCGCCGCGACGAGCCGGGGTGATGAGCGGCCCTGGGTAACGTCACCCCGCCTGTGTGCACCCTCACTTCAGTCCCTGTTACCGTTCTCCCCGATTGCCACCGCACTGGCCTCTCCCTCCCGGGGGGCTGCGGCCACTTTCCAGCCGAGCCCGTCCCCGCTGCCGCCTCGGGGAGCGCCAGGGCGGGGAGGATTCACCCCAAAGCGGGCGATGCTGCAGCCCGGGGCAGGCAGGGGACCCGCGGCCCCCCCCGGGGTCCCGGCGCAGGCTGTGGAGGTGCGAAGCCGTTCTGCACGCCCGGAGCACCCCGACCGCCCCGCGCCACCACCGGCGCTGCCTCCCGCCCCGGAGAGCCGGCACGCTGCGTGGGGCTTCTGCCTGCTGGGCGGGTGAAAAGCTCCGTGTCCGAACAAACAGCCCCAGCGAAGCCAGCGTGCGCCCCACGCCCGAGAGGCTGCGGCGGGCGGTTTGTTTAGTCAGTGTGATGGTTTTTCCCACTGTTTTTCCTGCCGCCGGTTCACGACTTCACTTTCCTCCCCGTCCCGGCAGTGCAGAGGAGCCCAGACCTCCCTGATTTCTTCAACCCGTCCCTGGTGTGCGGGAGAGGGCTGGCTCAGCTGCAGGTGGGGCTGGACCTGCACCCCCACAGGGCAGTGGCCCACTGATCCTTTCTCAGCATTAATTATTAGCCCTGGGGAGGGAGCCCAGGGCTGGCTCCAGGCTGCTGGTGCTGCGGGCCCAGGCCGGGCTCTTCACTGGGAGTGCGGGATGCCGGCCGGCGCGGCGAGGCGAGGCGAGGCGAGGGGTTTGTCCTTCACTGCTGCCCTGCAGGATGGGGTGCCAGGCGCTGAGCGCCGCCAGCGCAGCTCCCGGGGTGCGGGGGGGGGGGTCCCTGTGATGGGGGGGGAGTCGCGACCGGAGAAACGCGGGGCGAGGCCGGGGCGCACGAGGGGCCCACGTGCGGCTGCCGCGCCCCCCCCTGCCGCCAGCAGGGGGCGACAGACGCCGCGGCGGGAGATGGCGGGAAGCGGCGGTGGCGGGAGATGGGGGAGATGGCGGGAGATGGGGGAGATGGCGGGAGATGGGGGAGATGGCGGGAAGCGGCGGTGGCGGGAGATGGGGGAGATGGCGGGAGATGGGGGAGATGGCGGAAAGCGGCGGTGGCGGGAGAAGGGGGAGATGGCGGGAGATGGGGGAGATGGCGGGAGAAGGGGGAGATGGGGGAGAAGGGGGAGATGGCGGGAGGGGGCGGCGGCGGCGGCCCGGGGGGTCACCCACCCCGGCTCACATCCCCGCGGGGCTCCCCCCCCCCCGCTCCAGGCGCTGCCCCTTCCCGCCCTTGCCGAGGGGCTCCCGCGGGGCACAGCCCGGCGCAGGGGCCGTCACCGCCGCGGGGCTGAGCCCCCTCCGTGCCCGGCTGGGACCCGCGGCAGTCACTCGGGTGGGCGCAGGTGCTGTCGCGTCTCTGCGGGGGGCGGTGGGGCTGGCGGGGGACCGAGGCCCCCCCTGCGCAGCGCTCGGGGCACAAATCCTGCCCGGGCACCACCCGCAGCGGTTTGGCCCGCTCCTCGGGGACGGCGGCTTTTCCACAGGGTTTGGGGGCGAGAGGAGGAGACCCCCCAGCAAAGCCCTTCCCGTGGGCACGCGGGGGGCGAGCCCCCTTTCTTTGCTTTTTCCTTTTTTTCCCTCCCAACGCTTTACAGAACACAAGTGTCCTCCGGCCCCTGGGAAGGGCGTTTGTACGTGTGGGAGTTGAGCCCTTGGAAACCAGTGCGTTATTTTCAGATGGTATTTCCAAACTTAAAGTTAGCTGAATCACCAGGGGCCTTTAAGGAAGAATTCACTGTATTTTTGTGAACGCATCCTTCAATCTTTTCTCTTGACTGAAGCTGGTGACACTTTTATCTGAGAAAGGCAAGGCTTGAGATAAAGGTTTCAAAGCGCTTTACAAATGAGATAAAGCTGGTTTCTGAAAGATGGGTACTTTTGTCTGCACCGTACTGTAGAACAATTCAGAGGTTCCCATTACTGGGATCTGTACAAAAGTGCTATAAAAGATTTTTCTCCACCAAGATTTCTGCCAGAAAAGAAAAGGGGGAGGAAAGTGGAGGCAAAGTCACCATTTGGGTGTTAAATACCACTTGACTCTTGGTATTTAGGGGCCCACTGTGCCTTTAACCCGGTTTACTCCGTCAGTAGTTACCAAAAAGGACATTAACATGTGTATTTATGGCCTATGCATTGCACTGTAATTATCTGCCAGGTCCACTTGAGCGCTGCCTCGTGAATCTAACAGCATATGCAAATAAAAGGAGACTCGATTTGCATGGCGATTTGCATGTGCGTGCACAGTTCCGTTTGTGGATGCCCGCTGTGTGACACAGGGGGGGATGCGATCCAGGGAGCCCACGCGGTGCCCGGCTCCCCGGGGGGGGCAGAGGAGCAAACACGGCCGTTTGCCCCTGGGGGGGGTCCCCCGCCGTCACCCGCAGCCTCGGTGCTGCACCTGCCTGAGGCTTTGCCTACGGAATAACGGTGCTTTAAAAAACACCTAGTTTGGCTATTCCCCAGTATTTGGCAGTGTGGTTTTGTCCTGATGCCAGGGGCAGATATTGCACGGCCCAGGAACTAAACTTTCTCCAGAACTTTTTTTCTCAGCACTTCTTAACACTGAGATTCGGGTATTTTATTAGAAGGGAAAATCAGCCACAAACAAATGATTCCTAAATAATTCTTCCTCAAGCTTGACTATAAATCTTATCCAAGACAGTTATCACAGCTGAAACTTGCTGTCTTTGTCCCCCAGATCAGAAATTTGATGCATTTTGAGTGGAACTAACTCAGCGGTGTCAATGGAGAAATGAAGCTGATCTGTAATCTGGGGCCCCCAACAGCAGAAGGACCCGGAGCTGCTCGAGCGGGGCCAGAGGAGCCACGGAGATGCTGGGGGGGCTGGAGCAGCTCCCCTGGGAGGCCAGGCTGAGAGAGTTGGGGGGGTTCAGCCTGGAGAAGAGAAGGCTCCGGGGAGCCCTTCGAGCAGCCTCCCAGGGCTTAAAGGGGGGACAGGAGAGGGGGGGGGACGACTCTGGGTCAGGGGGTGGGGGTAGGACGAGGGGGGACGGGTTTAAAGGGCAGATTGAGGTGAGCTCTAAGGCAGAAATTGTTCCCTGTGCGGGGGGGGAGGCGCTGGCCCAGGGTGCCCAGAGCAGCTGTGGGTGCCCCCTCCCTGGAAGGGTTCAAGGCCAGGTTGGACGGGGCTGGGAGCCCCCTGGGCTGGGGGAAGGGGGCCCTGCCCGGGGCAGGGGGGGGCACTGGGGGGGCTTCGAGGTCCCTTCCCACCCACACCAGCCTCTGATTCTGTGGGAGAGGAATTTAATATATTTTTTTCTTTTTTCAAATAGGTTGCTCTAACTGGAGCAGCCTGTCTTTTGTGAAATACATGCATCATAGCGAGTCGTCTCT